AATTAAACTCTTAAATTCAAGCAAAAATAACAAGGAAAGTAAGGAGAGAAAATTGTTAAGGAAGTCAATTGATCGAATTAGCCTTTTCGAAGGCTTTTCAAAACTTTGAAAAATAAGAAGTGATGAAGAAATGGGAAGATTCCTTAGGGAAGTGGTGAGAATTGGCCAAATTAGGTCTCGTGATAGCGGGAAGAAAACTAGAAAAAGCTGGAAAAAGGCAAATCTGAAAACACGGCAGAAACTTAGAGAAGAAATTGGAGAAGACTGGAGGGGTAAAGCGAAAAGCGAAGCGTGTCCCCTCCTTAAAGTTATAAACTGAACTGAAAAGATATTTGGAATATGTTGGATGATATGAAAAGATATCCAACTGGTATTTGCAATTCAAGCTTTTTCTGAAACGATATTTCATATTTGCAATCAAAGCTTTCTTTTTCTTGTTCAGTTTTCTTCACTGAAATCTTATAGAAAAAGCTGTTGGCTTTGAAGTTTTTGAAGAACGTTTTTGGCAAAAAAGAAGACAAGTTTCATTCATAATAGATTTCTTTGGAGTATTTATACAAGCATATTTGGAATACTAAAGCAAGCAGTGCTTTCAGGAAAAATAAATACATTTTGATGTCATTCTATTTTTACATTGAATTGGCTATTTACTGATTCTATTATCGATATTAGAATAACTCTTGAAAGTTTCAAAAAAGTGATGACACAAAAGACAAAAAGATGTAATTAAAGATTCTAAAAAAACCGAAGCCAAGCACTTTGGTTGGTTATCAAACACAGAAACCATGGTGAAAAATAGAAAAATTATTAATTTTAAAATAGAATTTTTTGATTTTTTGAAATTTGATTTTTTATTTACTTCATAAACCCCGCATAAAAGCCTCACTGCTCGTCATCGCAGTCTTAAAGCGAAAAGTAAAATCTATTAGCATTTATACTCCTTTTGGTCCCTAGCTCTGCTCTTACCAATTCCAAGCGTTCTAATTAAATCTCGCGCCCTAGGGCAATAGCCGATCAATGCCAATGGCTTTATGGTAATAAAAAGGCATCCTCTTTGCCAGAAAACTGGGAAAGTTGGGTTTACCAATTTCTGAACAATTTCTCTACTTTGTACGCGATCTTCATTGCAATTAAATCTATATAAACTTACCTTAAATCTACTTTTTCCGGCAACTCCTTTTCACTTTTTTATTAATCAAATGATCCTTATTAGCTTTTCTAATTTTAAACATCGATTCTACTCAACTCTATCATTACATAAACTTTCCTAATCAACTTTTCCTAAGCGATCTCGTGAAAGCCATTTATTGGAATTTCCCTTGGTTATAAACTGCTCGTTTTCGCAAGAAAACTAGTGCACGAGAAGTAGTGCGTTTACGAGCACAAAATGAAGCTGAAGGCGAATTTACAGCTATAGAAAGAAGAGCTATAGAAAGATTCTGCATCTAACGCGTTTGGCACTGATTTCAAACTGCAAACTCAATTTCACTTTCTCAAAGATAACCGAATACACAGTTACACAAATCTAACAGCAAATGAATGTACTCTACAGAATTCGATGGAATATCGTAAGCCGGTCTAAATGTTGAAAGAAACGGTTGAAGCAAACGGATACGAAGATTCACTCTGGAAGCTCTAGATAAGCTTTGAAAGCTCTAGAGGCTCTAGAGGCTCTAGTAGCTATAGAAGCTCTGGAAGCTCTAGAAAATAGAAACCTTTCTCTCCTTTTTCTCTTCTTTTTCTCTTTTCCCCAAATTTTTTTTGCAATTGGCGGGTTTCGAGAAAAAAGAATTGAATTTGTCTTTCACATAAGAATTTATATAAATGATAACGGTTAATTTATAACTTGAAAACGTTTTCCGATCGTCAACTTGTAAGAAACTTAGCTGCTTTATCGACTTTGCTAAAGAGTGACTCAGCCAGTAGATGCTACAGTAACCATAACTATAGACACTATCGTAATCCGTAACCAAGTTACGCGACGTTACTACCTTGCAGTACGAAATATTTTCCACCGTAGTCATCGAGATTACTGTAAGCTTGACTATCTGGTATGATATCACAGCTGGATCTGATCACATTCTCTCAATCGTGTACATTTAGACCGGCTTACGATATTCCATCGAATTCTGCTGTTAGAGGATAAATATGCGCTGAAAATAGGTTTTACTATGAAACGCAAATCTGACAAGGGGATTCAAACTGGGCGTTTTGGGATAAGCTCTGTGCAAGCACCAATCAGATATAGACATTCCAAATATCTATCCACTTTTTGCTCAAATTAAAATCCTGGCGAGAAAATTGCATTTGAAGTTTCGAAAAAAGTTGTTCGATTTTCGAAAACAAGCCAAGCAGCTCTTGTTTGCCAACAAACCCTAGCCAATAAGAGCGGCGGTAGCCTAAAGGTAGTGTGCTGGGCTACAGAACTCATGCGACCTTTTGCGTTGGGTTCGACTCCTCCCAACGATCAGCTATTCTTGAAAAACAGACATGCTATTACATTTTTACTTTTCCCTTCATTGTCTTCATTTATCTGCACTTCGAGCTTTATCCTGAAACGTCAACCTCAATTTAGTGAAAGAGGGGGAACATTTCAGAGAAATCTCTCAATTTTATGAACTGTTGAATCAAAACGGTTGAATTTCTTCGAAGAATGAGTCGGAAATTTGCTAATTTGCATCCCAGATGGGAAAAGAGTGAGGCTAGAATGGCAAAGATTGAGCAAGCGACTCCGCTCTTTACTCGGCTTTTTCTTTGGCGTCGCGTCACTTTTAAAAGTCTTTAGCTTGATTTTTGCTCGATATGGAACGCAGCTTAAACATTTTGATACTTATTTTCTAAATAAACAAAGACCTTTGCCTTCAAGATTCCTTATATGGCAAAATCCATCGGATTGATGTCAGGTGAATTTGCAGGCCATTCTTCCGGGGTAATGAAATCCGGTAATGAAATCCACGTTTTGCTTGGCAAACCACTCCATGGTCTTTTTTGCACGATGTGCTGGTGCAGAATCTTGTTGAAAGATCCAAGGTGCTCCAGAAAAGTGATTATCAGCCCAAGGCTTCATATGCCTTCATATGCCTCAAAAAGGAAGAGATTATTGCATTGTCACAGATTAAAGTTTGAGTCTAGACTTTGAAATTCCCATTGTATTGGATAGAGGATTGGAGGAAAACAAATGAAAGACCTGGGGATTGTTCGGGTTTTGTTCAGGCTCAGGTTCATTTTTGAATGGATGTTTCCACGTTTTCATTTTTCGTTTTTCGTTTCCTTCGATTAAAGTTAGAGAAATAAAGAAGACAAATTATATGCAAATTAATCAAAAACTAATATAATAGATTTTATTAATGCGTTTTCGCACTTTATTTCTTTCTGAATAAAGTATTTATATAAATGATTTATCTATAAATGATTTATTTATAAATGATATAAATTATTCCACTAGTTAAAAATGAGAAACAGATTCGCACCGAAAACTAAAGCCATTTTTGAAACGTGGAAACATCCATTTTTTGGCTCTGCTGGCCTTTACTTTACTAAAATAGCTGTAAAATCTTTTAGGAAAGAGATATCTCAAGGGCGGTTTTTGTACCCATCGATCTGTATTGATTCAGCTTTAGCATAAGCTATAAAACGTCAAAACTTGACAAATTTAAGGTACACTCCCCAAATTTCGGAAACAACTTTTCCATCAACCCAATATCAATTAATCTAATGCTTGCTGCATTAGAAAGGCCTATTTTCTACAGAATCAAGAAATGTTATGAAAATTTGTTTTTTAGTATCATTAGTTTAGTTTAACATTAGTTTAGTATTATAAAGTTTATATTCTATAGTTTTTTATGTAGGCATGAAGCCGGATAGTCAAAAAAGGCGACAGCGCGAAGACTCACTTTAAGCTGTTTTATGATTTCTACATAAACCTTTTGTTGTCAATGATTGTCAATGCCAATGTCAACTATGGCCGAATTTTGAGAATATCTGTTCAACCGATTCCTTTATAGAGGTTTTTATCGAATTTTACTAAGAAATTGGTTTCTTTACACTTAAAGTCACTTGGAAGACTAAAATAGACTAAAATCGGGTTGAAATGATAGAAAAGTGAATGGAAAACATTTCCTATTTAAAGGAATTTGTGCTTTTGTCATTTCAATGTTATAAATGCTAGTAAAACAAGATTACCAAGATTACAAAGATTTATTGATCAAAAGATCATTGTAAGCTAAACTCAGCCACTTAATCATTATCGTCAAACGATTTCTTTAAGATTTAAAACAAACTCGTGGGGCTGCTTCTGTAAAGATGTTGTGTAGAGTGATGAAAAGGATGAAAAATGACACCACAATTCTTTTACCCATTCGATCCTTCTGCAAATTTTTTGTAAATATAGAAGAAAAAAGCTTCGTAAAATAGAGGATTAAAAAAAGTGAGAAATGAGAAAAGAATGCAAAAGATTGTGGACGGTGAAAGGAAGGAAAAACAGAAATTTTGACTATATGTTTGGGGGAATCTTGTGATCTATTGGAGACTTGACAATGAAGATTTGAAGACAAGAAAATGAGGAAAAGAAAAAGTATGTTTTGATAAGTTAGCGCACAAAATAGAAAGCATCATGAGATTTGCAAAGGTTTCTTTTACAAAAATTCCTGAATGAGCTGAGCATTTCAATTAAAAGAATTAAAATAATTTCCAAAATAAATCTGAGAGCTGAAAATTTTTTGAACAAATTATTGATTGATTTACCAGCCTACACTTGATCAAGATTTGAATGTTATTGATTTTCAACAACAAGAAAGAATCTAGCGATTGGGTTTTGCGTTCTTTGCTGAACAAATCAAAGCTTTGTGAACAAATCAAAGCTTTGCTGAACAAATCAAAGCTCTGCTGAACAAATCAAAGCTTCAGAACAAATCAAAGCTCTGCTGAACAAATCAAAGCTCTGCTGAACAAATCAAAGCTTCAGAACAAATCAAAGCTCTGCTGAACAAATCAAAGCTTCAGAACAAATCAAAGCTCTGCTGAACAAATCAAAGCTTAGTGAAAGGAAAAAGATTAGTGAAAGGAGTGCTTGGATTGGCGTGAAAATTGAAGATTGACGTGACGTGAACTTGGATTGACTCTTTTTCGCATTTGTTTTTGATCTAAAGAAAAATGAGAGGACACCGAAAAATAGGATACAAACAGACAGATACCACATAGGATATGAAGCTCTTGTGTTGCCCATCGCTGAAGGAAAGCAGGTGACGCGGAGGCAAGAAAAGACACGAATGGGGAAAGGTACGGTAAGCGGGACAGGAAAAAGGAGGAACGGCAATACGATCTACATATGCATCCGATGATATTCAGAATATTTAAATTGGCTAGTCCAACATTAAGATATTTGCTCTGCTCTGCCGTTGACGTAGTGATAGGAGCATCGGATGAAACCTGAATTAATTTTTTAGCAAATTATGCTGAAGCGTTACATATTCTTCTGGAATAACCTTTTGGACGAGTTCATCAATTAATCGACTTATTGCCGCCTAAAGCTTTCAGTGTAAAATTTATAAATCATAATAAACTTGATCATCAATGGTTCGAAAGTCAGAAACTTGATGGTCACCTAAAATGTCAAAAAATTAAAAGCCAGTTTATATGGAATATAAGATGTACTTGAATATAATGATTACCATTCTCGGTCGTGTCTCTCTTTGATAGTGTGAGTTCTGGTTTTTCACCAAGAATCGTTAAATTGTCCATTTCTGTAATATTCGATGCCCATTCGGTGGTCACCTCCTCTTTCTCATCAGTTCTTTCAAACAGCGATTCAATTGTTAATTGGTCATCGTGCATGTTTGGGCTATCCTCAGCGTCTTCAAAATTTAGGCTTCTCATGCACCCTTCATTGTCACCGGCGGCACACTTCTGCTCTGTCTAAATAGACAAAGTTATTTTAGCTTCAATTTCTGTTCATTCGTGCCAGATTCGTGGCAAATATTCCGAAACAAATTCACTTCACAAACTCTTACCTCTTTCTGCTGATTAATTTCATTTATTTTGGGCACTTCATCCAAAAGAGCATGCTAAATAAATCAATTTTTAAAACACCATTTACAAGTTACTTCATCCAAGTCATCAGTGATAAAAATACCATCGTCGTCAAGCACACTTTCGTCGACCAATGTGTTGTTGAAAGTGTGATGCTCTAAAGTGAACATTGAATATTATTTTCTTGCCAAGCACAGACCTAATTCATCAGTTTGCATCGTTTCTTCAAAGCTCAAAAAGGTCGAGTCCATATTTCACAGCTCATACAAATTTCGACTAAAGAATTTCCGTATAATAAATTTCTTGTCGTTTTCATATTAATAAAGGTATGTACAGTTCAACAACAAATTCAATATGTCAAAAACTATGTATAAAACCATTTATCTGAAAATAAAAATCTATGTTCAAAGCAAAAATGCAAGGCAAGCTCACCGTATCGTCAAAATCACAAGTAAGTACACCAAACTTAAACAAAAAGTTCTCCTAGAAAAGGTAATAAACTAGTTATGAAAATTATTCCTGCTCCAATTCGACCAGTACTCGGCCACAATCTTTTGGATGAAGAAAAACGACTGGTTTGTTGTGGGCGCCGATTTTTGACTTCTCATCGAGGGGACGAATTCCAAGAGGTCTAAAATTCAAAAAATTGAATCTCGAAATCTCGACAGATGATTCTGAACGTTCCAAAGAGCAATAAAAGTTTAACATTTCTTGAAAGCTAAACAACAAAGTATTGTACTTACTTGACACTTTTCAGTGCTTTTTCGATGTCTTTAACCGATGCAGATGTGATGCATACCACCACTCTTATTCTTGTTCAAGAAATCCTAAAGAAAAAAATAGTGTTGACTTTTGGAGTCAGCCAACCTGAATAGGTCTCTTATCACCCAGCGGCAACAAAAATTCAAGTTTTGTGTCGGGCGGCAGCTCAACGAAAACCGTGTAGACCCCATGTTCTGGTAGTGGCTAAATATATGATATGATAGGATATGATCCCAGAAAAATGTTGTGTCGGGAGAAATTCACAATTTTAAATCGAACCTTTCTCTGTTTCTCGTCCCTCATTGCAATCACTTGCGCATACTATCGACGTGTTTTGGACGCGTAATCGGGGTCCCCAATTCCATCTCATAAAATATCCTCTTTTGCTTTAGCTCTATAACTTTTCGAAGCAGAATCATTTAGCTTAAGAAAGCGCAGAACCCTTTTGGATGCCCGTTTAAGACTTAATCCTCAACTTATCCCACCGAAATCGGGAGCATGTCATGTTGGGGGCTTTTTTGTTTTTCTAGAAAACACTTTCCGGGCCAATTTTTGTGCTGATTATGAATATCACACTTAGAATGGGAAGCTCCATTTTAAGCCTATTTTTCACGTATTTTCAAAACTCTCAAAAATCGTGTTTTTTGGTCGTTTTTGGATTTAGAAAAAATTTGCGATGGGCCATTTTCTGCAAAAGTTGTTTTTCTAGATAATTTTAGGACCTAAAACCGAAATTTTGACATATCAGAGCCTGGAAACAAACGGACGGAGTTATGCAAAGAGAAAAATCGATTTCTGTCATTTGATCTAGCCGTTGCCGTTTTGTCTTTCAAATTGGTTCCACATGTTATGTCAAAATTTGAATTTGACACCCTCAAATTACCTAGAAAAACAAGATTTGGAATAAAATTGGTTAATATTAGCTTTTTAGAGCTTTTGTAAAACGCGAAAAAAGGTAATGGGCAAGTTGCGGAAAAAAATGTGCGCAAATATCTGGGTGCGCAAAAAAGGTCGCATTTGTCCCACTCCCATGGTTTTTCATCTGTTGTCCAAAAAATATACTTGCAATCTAGAGAAATTCAAAGTATTCAATTTAGAAGCAAGATATTAAAGTTGAGGTTAATTTGCCTATTCAATACCGCTTCACCACTAATTCGTTTTTTATGGTCTTGTTAGCCTCACGTTAGTTTTATGTAGTTTATGTAGTTGTATGTAGTTTCTTATTTATCCTTTTTCCTTTATGTACCCAAACATGATATTAATATTATTTTTAGGACCTTGATGATGGCTGTGACGAGTACGAGATGTTTACTTGGAACCCTTCAACGAACCTATGCCACAACAGCACTACATTCCGTTGGGCGTGAAAAGTGTGGAGAAATCAATCATTTTATGTGAGGGCTGGATACGATGTTGTGATCATTGAAACAGTTGGTTTTGGTCAATCGTCAATCTTTTTGTCTCCTATCGCCGGCACATGGTGATGGGTGGCACAGGGTGTAAAAGAGGAATCACGGAGTTGGCTGTGAAAGAGGAATCACGGAGCATCAAGGGGCATGTTTCGCTGGCAGCCAGAAAGGTAACTTAAAGAAAAAATGGCATTTTATTATTTTTGCAGGGCTTTGCATCACATCCATTGGCTGGCCTACTTGGGCGTCTCAATTGCCACAGGCGATTTGGAGAAAGCTGCTAAATTCTACAAAGATCTTGACGCGAAAGTCAACGAGACTGTGGTATATTTCATTTTATTTCATTTCAACCTCCACAAATTGTTTAGCCACTACCAGAACATGGGGTCTACACGGTTTTCGTTGAGCTGCCGCCCGACGCAAAACTTGAATTTTTGTTGCCGCTGGGTGATAAGAGACCTATTCAGGTTGGCTGACTCCAAAAGTCAACACTATTTTTTCTTTAGGATTTCTTGAACAAGAATAAGAGTGGATATCAAAAAAGTGACAACGTTTAGTGATTCAATTCAGCACAACCTCTATGAGGTTGACAAATTTTGTTTCCTACGACAAAAATCCTTGTTTTTAGTCTCACTCACAAGAACAAAACCAAGACTGCTTTAATGGAATCAAAGAAGCGGATGGGCACAACAAAATGCTGGGACTGACTCGTCCCGAATTGAAACGGGTAAAAATAATTATCATTTTAAAGAAACGTTAACAGTAAAAAGTCTTACGTTGAGGGCTGAAGTTTAGTAAGCAATGGGTATCGTTTAATACTAAAAGCAACCAACATTTTATGTTTAGTATGTTCATGCGAGACTGAATGCTTGTTGCACCAATAAGGAATGCTTGACGGAAAGAAGGCTGTAAGTTTTGGTTTTTTCAAAAATGCAAATCCTTTTATAGCTTAAAACAACGACATGCAACTGACGAGCAAATGATCAAAACATTAAATAACAAGTTTTCCGATGTATTTATCTTTGCAAAAGACATGAATGAGAAGGTAGCTTTTCAATACTTATTTAAAGGACCATTTGAATTTTAGTACAAGCTACTAAAGGAGACTCATCATCTGGAATTCCAAAAGTCATTGGTGATACTGCGGTCGCAAGTAGCAGTATGTTTTAGATTGAAATAAATACATAAGCTTATTACTTCAGGAAAATTCTATTGATTTAGGCCTTAACGTCTGATGAAACGAGCAGTCAAGCACGATCCAGTCACACGGATCTTCGAATTCCTTCAGTATTTCAGACTTTGAATATTTTAACATGTATTATGACCTAGATGTTGCAACAACGAAATCACGCTTCTGCTTCACAGAATGGTGCAATAATTTATGGTGTTAGACCGACTGTTAATGTATGTCAAAGTTTTAAGCCTACAAGTTTGTTATGATAATTAGGTTCCTTCTGCTGCACGATTTGCTCGCTCTCGTCATATTTCATTTCAACCTCCACAAATTGTTTAGCCACTACCAGAACATGGGGTCTACACGGTTTTCGTTGAGCTGCCGCCCGACACAAAACTTGAATTTTTGTTGCCGCTGGGTGATAAGAGACCTATTCAGGTTGGCTGACTCCAAAAGTCAACACTATTTTTTCTTTAGGATTTCTTGAACAAGAATAAGAGTGGTGGTATGCATCACATCTGCATCGGTTAAAGACATCGAAAAAGCACTGAAAAGTGTCAAGTAAGTACAATACTTTGTTGTTTAGCTTTCAAGAAATGTTAAACTTTTATTGCTCTTTGGAACGTTCAGAATCATCTGTCGAGATTTCGAGATTCAATTTTTTGAATTTTAGACCTCTTGGAATTCGTCCCCTCGATGAGAAGTCAAAAATCGGCGCCCACAACAAACCAGTCGTTTTTCTTCATCCAAAAGATTGTGGCCGAGTACTGGTCGAATTGGAGCAGGAATAATTTTCATAACTAGTTTATTACCTTTTCTAGGAGAACTTTTTGTTTAAGTTTGGTGTACTTACTTGTGATTTTGACGATACGGTGAGCTTGCCTTGCATTTTTGCTTTGAACATAGATTTTTATTTTCAGATAAATGGTTTTATACATAGTTTTTGACATATTGAATTTGTTGTTGAACTGTACATACCTTTATTAATATGAAAACGACAAGAAATTTATTATACGGAAATTCTTTAGTCGAAATTTGTATGAGCTGTGAAATATGGACTCGACCTTTTTGAGCTTTAAGAAACGATGCAAACTGATGAATTAGGTCTGTGCTTGGCAAGAAAATAATATTCAATGTTCACTTTAGAGCATCACACTTTCAACAACACATTGGTCGACGAAAGTGTGCTTGACGACGATGGTATTTTTACTCAATGATGGACTTGGATGAAGTAACTTGTAAATGGTGTTTTTAAAAATTGATTTATTTAGCATGCTCTTTGGACGAAGTGCCCAAAATAAATGAAATTAATCAGCAGAAAGAGGCAAGAGTTTGTGAAGTGAATTTGTTTCGGAATATTTGCCACGAATCTGGCACGAATGAACAGAAATTGAAGCTAAAATAACTTTGTCTATTTAGACAGAGCAGAAGTGCCGCCGGTGACAATGAAGGGTCAGGAGAAGCCTAAATTTTGAAGACGCTGAGGATAGCCCAAACATGCACGATGACCAATTAACAATTGAATCGCTGTTTGAAAGAACTGATGAGAAAGAGGAGGTGACCACCGAATGGGCATCGAATATTACAGAAATGGACAATTTAACGATTCTTGGTGAAAAACCAGAACTCACACTATCAAAGAGAGACACGACCGAGAATGGTAATCATTATATTCAAGTACATCTTATATTCCATATAAACTGGCTTTTAATTTTTTGACATTTTAGGTGACCATCAAGTTTCTGACTTTCGAACCATTGATGATCAAGTTTATTATGATTTATAAATTTTACACTGAAAGCTTTAGGCGGCAATAAGTCGATTAATTGATGAACTCGTCCAAAAGGTTATTCCAGAAGAATATGTAACGCTTCAGCATAATTTGCTAAAAAATTAATTCAGGTTTCATCCGATGCTCCTATCACTACGTCAACGGCAGATACAAATAAGGAGTTTGACATGGATATCAAAAAAGTGACAACGTTTAGTGATTCAATTCAGCACAACCTCTATGAGGTTGACAAATTTTGTTTCCTACGACAAAAATCCTTGTTTTTAGTCTCACTCACAAGAACAAAACCAAGACTGCTTTAATGGAATCAAAGAAGCGGATGGGCACAACAAAATGCTGGGACTGACTCGTCCCGAATTGAAACGGGTAAAAATAATTATCATTTTAAAGAAACGTTAACAGTAAAAAGTCTTACGTTGAGGGCTGAAGTTTAGTAAGCAATGGGTATCGTTTAATACTAAAAGCAACCAACATTTTATGTTTAGTATGTTCATGCGAGACTGAATGCTTGTTGCACCAATAAGGA